ACTTCTATTGAGATTGAACTTCAGGTCCCGAAACCAGACATAAAAAATGTTACAGAACTTCCTGTGCCTCAGGTACTGGCCAGAGAAGACAAGCTGACTGTTCAGAACAGTTCCTCAAAAGATGACTTACATAAATCGGATTCCTTTGGAAGAAAAGAGGAAATAGAATTAACACACTCGCAAACAGCTGAAAACTGTATGGTAAAATGCTGTAATTTGGAAGAAGATACAGCTAAATTTTCTGTGGCAGGACAGCTTCCTACTTTGCAGTTGCCTACATCACAAAATAAAGCAGGCAACCAATACTTGCAGGATGAAAATTCTGATAAAACTTTAACTAAAACATCAGCTGCACCTGACCATGGAAAGGTTTCTGACCACATACAATGGTTCAACAAGCTTTCATTAAATGACCCAAGTTCTGCAAGCAAAACTAAACCACCTCTTAAGTTTCAACGTACTCCTGTTAGGCAGTCTGTAAGAAGAATAAATTCCTTATTGGAGGCTCACAGACGGTCTGTAAGCTCTCAGCTGCTTAAAGCAAGTGATGTCGGTTCACCGCTTGTTAAATCTTTGAGCTGTGATTCTGCACTATTCTCCTGCACAGAAAAGCCCTCAAAGAATTCTGTGGCTTTGCCACTCAGGGGTGAAAGTACCTGTGACCAAGTTTCTGTATCTCATAAGCAGCTAGACTTAACATCCAAATCATGTTGCAGGCAGTTAAATCCATCAGACAAGCCTGACGTTTCTGTCAGAACTGCTGGAATCCATGAACAGAAAGCAACTGTTCACCCATCAAAGTCTGTTCTAGAAGATCTAACCAATCATGAAACAGTGAAATCCAGTTTAAAAGTTAACGTAAATATAAATATTCCAGGTGTTGCCCAAGAAAAATCTACAATCACAAGAAGTGCTGCAGGGAAAGAAAAAGTTCGTTATAGAGGCTCTCCAAAGAACCCCATATCTAAAGTGAAACTGCTACCGACTGCAAAACCAGTAGATCTGTAAGATCAAATATGATGGCTAAATGGGCTTACTGTAACTTGGTTAACTGTTGGAAAATCTAAATTTGTACCATTATTTTTTTAGCTCAAATTATTTGTATTTTTTGATTTATTTTTTTAACTGTATGAGTCATGGACTTGTACAAATAACAATTTGGTTTGATGCCGAGGTTTTCTTCATTTACTGAAACTTTTGTAAATGCTAGTCAGTTCACCCAAATGAATTTGACATCAAAACCAAAAAACATGTTTTTACAAACGTTTGTGTTCAATCTGGTATTTGATTATCTCAGCTTCTAGAAACAAAACAATTTTTGCAGTATTTAGCCTAAGTACCAAGTTTAAAAAAAAAAAAAAAACCACCAAAAAAATCCCCCCCAACTCAGACATTTAAAGCAAAACTAACAGACGTGTGGAAGAAAATGTCTTGATGCTGAGTATTGGTAGATAAATTTATTTGCTTCTTAGTTTTAAGAGTATTGTAGCACTAATTTGATATTAAAGTTGGGACCTTACACCAGCTCTTCTACTTCTGAGACAGTGGGTTTTGTTTCTGTTGGAGTAAATTGGGAGCATATTTTCCTTGTTGAGTAGGTAAATAATTATATTTTGGTATGTGTACATACAGTGGGGAATTATTAGAACAAATGGAAAATAAATGTGTGGTTTATTCAGGAAGTGAGAAGTCTTAAAACTTCATCCAGCAATGTGTTCTGCAATAGGTACCAAGTATTTTCAGTTGTGAGCAGTATGATGTTTTATCTTAAAATGAAAGGATGGTTTTAACTTATTTTTAGAGTAATGGAATAGTGTTAGCTAGATGGTGCGGAAGCAGGTTTTAGATGCTGATAATGTTGCAAGAGACGAATGTAAAAAAGCCATAGTGTGTTACAAGTTGATTTGCACAAGCAAATGTTTACATCTTTTGGACTTAAAAACTGTTTATGTCTGTCATCAGTTGTAAAATTATTTAAGAGTAAACACTTGAAACTGTTCATTAGCTTTCTCTATGTGCTAATTGCTTTATTGGCAAAATGTAAGAGCTGAAAGCACTGGTTACTTTTGGTTTTAATAAAACCATTGGTTTTGTCCCTTTTCTGAGCCTGTTCTTCTATAATGACTTAGAAATTTAGATTATGTTGTCATATGTAGACTGTGGACATCAAAAATGAGTAAGTCGGAAAATATTGAAGTCGGAAGCGATTCTGTTCTGGCTCTCCTTTTTCTTCATCTCTGGTACATGTTGGTGATTCTCACAACTGGCAAAAGGCATGGTGCAACATAATTTAGCAGGAGCAGGCTTCTGAACTTTTTGAGTGATATGTTAATGAGAGGAATAGTTCTGCTTGCTTTCTGTTGCCTGCCTCCTTCCCCACATATCCACCAATTTATAGCTAAATTGGTTCTGTGGGTGACCTGGTGGATGCCTCTTGCCCCCATCAGCCTTGCTGAGCTCTGTTGTTACTTTATTGTTAAGATCTGACACTAGGGAAACAGCCATTGGAGGATCTTAACAGGATTGTTAAGTATTGGAAGCTTCAGCTACATGACATAAGGGAGCCAATGTAACAGTTCAGCAACCATCCAAAGATGAAGCTGCTTCTCCCTCCTCTGCTACATGCTCCTACCCTCTGCCTTGGGCTGGTGCTGGCAGATCCCTTGGTAGGCTGAATGCAGGTGCTGGCGCACCGCGTTTTGTATCGTTTCACCAAGGTAAATAAAGCTCAGCAAAGCAACTGCCAGCTGTCGTAGCTGATGCGAGGAGATAAGAGATGGAAATAGGACAGAAAGAGATAAAGGCAATGTCATGAGGAAGAAAATGAGATCTGACTCCTCCCATAAGAGTGAGCTGTCACATCAATTTGCGTTTGAAAGAGCAAGACTTGAGATTTTTTTTCTGTTATGTACCAAATATTTTGAATGCTAATGTAGCTTTGACAAGGTGTCACGGGTGGAGCAGTGAATATTTTTGATCATCAGTGCAAGCCCTTTTTGAACCAAGAGACTTAAATGTCAGAAAGGAAGATTTTGCTAGGGGCTTGACAAACAAACCCTTAAATATTGGGAAAGAGCGTTGAAGAACGTTGTAGCCTCTGCTTTTAGAGGTTTTACAGAACAGTTTAGGCATGTGCTCCTTTACATAAAGTTGTTTGTATTTTGGAGAAAGGTTAGAAATGCTAGATGCCCTACGGGGGTCCCTACTGTGTAACCCTGCATGTTACTGACATGTGTAACGTACCAGAGACCAGCAAAAAGAGAGAGCAGTCTACATTCGGGAGTGTAGTTTGTGGATCCGTTGCAGTGTATGGGGTACAGTCTTGGTGTTTTTCTGTAGGTAGCTATCCTAAAATGGAACATGTCCCATTCGTGTGGGTAGCAACGAAGGTGTGTTACATAAAGCAGCCTTTCAAAATCGCCGTTTTGCCAAGTGCTGTGGAGCAACAGGCTTTGTTTAGCACGATGGGGTTATGGTTGCCTTTTTGTAAGCCTCTGCTCTGGGTGATGTGTAGAGATTTGCTTAACCTGGCGGCCTTTACCTGCAAGGACTTGGGGATGGCTGCCATCTTCTTACCTTGTAGACCCGCAGTTGGGCAGCGCTAGCGTTCCGTAAGTAAACCCTCCATCGCGTTATTCCGGGGAGAGAATTCGCAGTGGGAAGACGGGCACAATCCTAGGAATACGCAGTATCTTGTTTCTGTAACCGTCGTTCCATCAACAACCTTCAGCTTATTTTTAGACCATTGTGTTTAGCTGACGAGGGAGATCTTGAATC